AGTAATTTTAATTTTCAGTGGACAAAAACCTTGTACCAGAATAATTTAAAGAATATTGCATTCTTTTAATTAGTCATTTGCAATAACACCAAAGAAAATATTCTCATGGGAGTCCGAAAAAATGATTGTCAAATTTCACAAGAATTGTGAAAACACAAGTAAAATTCTGAAAACTTCATGTGTAAGATGTAATTTTGTGAAATTTGACATTCATTTTCTCAGACTACCATGAGAAATTTTCTTTGGTGTTATTACAGATGACTAATTACATCTTTAGCCCTTGAAAAATGTAAAAAAGAATGCAATATGCTTTAAATTATTCTGTTACAAGATTTTTGTTCGCTGAAAATTAAAATTACTCAATTTCCTGGTGGATTCCGTCTGGCTTTTATCGTTTACGAAGTCGTTCGCGTCTCTTGTCTGTGTTTGTACGTTTGTTTATTTTTTACAAACAAACCAACTACGCGACAGAAAAGAGACGCGAACGACTTCGTAAACGTCAAAAGTCGTGCAAGAGAGAAACCTCTGCTCGCAGGGTAAAATGAATGGAGCCTAAAGGGTTTATTAGTGATTAGTAAACCTAACTAATTCTCATTTGGCTTTTTCGTTTTTTTCATTTTTCCTTTTAGCATTTTTATGAGACAACGTACGTTATTGGCAATTAGATGTACATGAAATGTATTATAAACCACTCAGCGATCTTAGCATTTTGAACAATCTGATTGGCTCGCCATCTCAAGCTATTTTGCATTCTTATACATCCAAAATGTTCTACCGTTTCTCATTTGCTCCAATCCCCCGGCTTATTCTTCATAACCATTTGGCGCTTACCATGTATTTGGAAGATGAGAGCAATACACCATCGATTCGACGGTATAGGGGTGTTCATATGTCACGAATGAACAAAAAAATTTGAAATCGTTCAATGAAAGAAGCCAGCCAAGAAAATGAAATATTACAGAAGACTCTAAAACATACAACCTATCGAAGTCTCAAGTCATGATCAGTGCGTTGCACCGTTTGTTGCTGTTGTTGTTGTTGTGTTTTCCCCAAAAAGTTTCACGCAATTTTGTAAAGCTTTTTATGGAGACGCCATGCGGGTGTACAAACATGGGACACCAATATGGCGGCCGAAAATCAACAAAGACATCTGGCTTTCACTTTTGCGATGAAAATGCCTTCTTTTTTCTTGTCAGATAATTTACATGTGCATAAACAAATTTTTTACTGCTTAAAATATTTAAACTGTTGAAAGTCATAGGGACCGAGAGAGCTTTTCTTTAACCAGACATCTTTGCCCAATCTCGTTCCCAGGGTTCTTTTTCTTGTTTCAAGAAAGAACCCTAGTTGCTGCTGGTCACGTGGAAATGTGTGTCAATAAATTGTGCAGTTGGGGTAGGTCCTCCACTAAATTTTGTCGACTGAGCAATGAAATACTATCTGTGGTAGGTAAAACATTCTTGCTTCAAAATCAAGCTTGAGTCTCTGAGCGTTGCTTTCTGCTAGTTACCGTAACACTAAATTTGGAAGGACAATTTAGAGAGTTTGTAATTGTAAAAAGATTTGCTCCCCGTCGTGCAAGTTGTGACCCTCCCTCTGTTTCCAATCCCCCCCCCCCTCCTAATTTCTGACAAGTCTCTTACAACCACCTTTGTAAAAAGCTCTCGTCTGCGACTGCGACCACTTTTGAGATTACCCAACAATACTCCTCCTTTGTTTTTAAGCTCTCTTAAGCGACCACTGAGGGTCTTTGTTAGAAAATATCGCGTCATTGTGGCGGGAAAACTCGTCACGTGATCTGAGAACTGAGCTTTGTACGAGAGTCTAGGAACTGTGTAGTCGTTCGGAGTCGTGGTGCCGATCGAGTGTGTAGATTGAGTGTAGATCATCGAATTTTTACGCGAATTGAAGTCGATAAATCCTTTAAGTGTAGAACAGAGTACATAATTCTAAAATATGAACATGTGAAGAAATATACTTTTAGGGAGTAAAGAATTAAAACTACAGAGAACTGATTGTATCACACGTAATTTGTGACAGTCGTATTCATATAAATCAACGCTAAAGTCAAAAAATGATCATGGTTATAAAATCTCTTATTTGGAAAGTACTCTTAACCTGAACTCAAATTCCAGAAATGAAGCATTTTCGTTAAATAGAAGCGGAGAAAACGAAGGCCAAATTTATTTTCAGCGAAATTATCTACAATTCTATGCTTTGGTTATCAGTATACATTCAACCTTATCTTTAGCAAGTACCTTTCTATTTTTTCTATACATGTGGTCAAAATAATGTTATCGTTTTCGATCAAACCGGCCACCGCCTGAGACCAGGCTCTCCGTGCAGGGGGGAAAAAAGGTAGAAAAACGCGGTCGAATAACCAACTACCAAAAAGCAAGGAGAAGGCTTCTTTATCGGTACTGCTAGCTCGGAAGTCCCGGATATTGAACGAGGGGATCTGGAACAGGCTTTCAAAGACGCTCCCTTGTTTCTTGCGATTATTTTTTCCCATTTTTGCGTTGTTTTAGCAGAACAATGGAATCATGACGTCACCGCTTCTTCCAAAACTGGCATACTCCCGAACTGATAACAGTTTTGCACCACATCAAGATTCTGCATCACGTTTCTCCTAGTGCTGAAACAGCGGCACAAGAAAGCAAGTTATCAAAGTCGAGTACCGAATACCAAGACTGAGGTGACAAACTGGGACGGTTCCTAGGGGAGAACTACCACATTATAAGCTGATATTGACGACTCTTTTGCAGTCGTTCACCCCAGCGTACGGTCCCAGTCCATATACTTCTCTTGTAAAAGCTGAACTTAACGAAGTGATAGCTGATGACGTCATCACCCCCCAACCGACTGACTGCGTCAATTCTATCGTGTGCAAGATCAAAGAAACCCCTGATGGAGAGTAGAAAGTAAGGCTGTGTCTCGATCCAAGGGATCTAAACAATAACTTACATCGAGAATACTACCAGGACATATACCAGGACCATCAATGAAGCTACCTCTCCTCCGTGGGAAGAAGTATTTCTCCGTTGTAGATACAAAGAAAGGGTACTGGAACGTGGAATTAGACTACCCATCCAGCCTACTGTACACCTTTAATACCCCTTCCGGGAGGTACCGATTCATGAGATTACCCTTCGGATATTAAATCGAATTCTGGAAAAAAAGATAGAGTAAATTCCAAACTAAAGCCAGGTAAAGCACAGAAAAATTAGGGGGGGCGAGGGCTGGGAGGAGTGTCTCCCTCTCGTCTGTTTTGTTTCTTTGGTTGTATGTTTCGCTCCCCTCCCGGGAAAGGGGGATTTTAGACTTGCCCACAAGTCCCAGTTACAAGTCCTAATGAATGTTGTTTACCATTTACCCCGAACCGTGAACAGCCCGGTTTACCCATGAAAATAGTAAACAGCCAACGTCGTTCCTAAAAGTCCATCGTTTTCTTCAATCGCTTAATCAAAAAGTCGTTGAACTTCTGACCACTGATACGCCTGTTTGTACAACAAGAAGAGCGATTGTAAGGATTTTAAATTAGCTGTTCTTCATCGATCTTTCACTGATACATAACTATTTTAGGTGTTCTAACAAAGGCAAATTACAGTATAGAAGGAATTATCATGGCCAATTCGATGTTTCATAATATTTCTTTGCTGATGTTTATTTTGAATTAATAACAGCTCACGTACAGAGGTTATCAACCTTTTCAATATAAAGTGTTTGCTCTTACAACTGACTTAAAATTTAGAAAATATTAAATAAAATTGTAAGTTGTAAGTTTTTGCAACATTTGGCCGTGCCCCCAATGGCAGAGAAGGAAAATATTTTTTTGTTCGGTTTTTAAAATATCAAGCTTAAATATTTGCGTTTACAGCGAGCAGCGGGCTCATTGGCCTAATGGAGGTTAAATGACATTGTCTTCAAATGCGCCTAACAAAAATTATTTAACAAGAAAAACCTCGACTGTTCACTGTCCACATCTAAACCAAATCTACATTGTAGCTTGATGATGACTATCACATCTACTTAACATCTACTTAAGAGGTGGGAGACAGTTTCCTTCCCCCACTAATGGGTAGTGACGGTGAGCGCTCGATCTCGACGATCTTACTTAAAGATAGGGACTGTGAACAGTTTAATAAAAACCTAGATAAATGCTGGAAGGAAGTTTTTCGCGCAGCATTTAAGCAAAAACATGTGTAACTATAATTTTTTTCTCCTTTTCGCTTGTTGATGGCATTGTGAATGTTTCTATTCGAAATTTGTTTGGATACTTGGTGTTTTGTATAGTGTTTTTTGAGTTATTTGTTAACTTTTTGCAGTGTTTTGTTTTGTGTTTACTATTCAAAAGTGAGAAACTAATAACAGCTATTAAATTACAAAAAAGAATATGTAACTATACGGAAAATTATTGTTGTGGAGGACTAAATTTTTTTAAACACTAAACTATGATATTATCAACTGAGTTGAATAAGTTAACTTCCCACAATAAAAGGTTAACTCGAATTGACGAAGGAATATTGTTCAATACGTCATCTTTTCAACCTCTGACGGTGGTAAAATCAAGTCAGTGTCGTTGATAAAACACAATTTTATGTTTGGAAATCGGGCGATCCCGCACCTATTTGAGAGATTGATTTTGATTAGCTGGCAAAACAATAGGGATTGTCACAAAACAATGCTCCTATCCCTGAAAACAATGGAAGTGCAGATTGAACGGGACGAGTGAAAAAAGAGGTTTAGAACTGTGCAGGTCTACAGAAACTGTTGCTCGGTGATCAGTGTAGTCTGTGTCGATCTGTGATAACGATCGAAGACTAGTTAAATATACTTTGCTGTGAAATCACTATGACATATTCAAAACTATGGGTGAACACTGGATTTGTTAAATGGTACACTCGGTGGTATTTCACGAGGATCTTTTCCCTATCACTGCTCAACAGTTCCATGACCAGTTGCAGACTTACTCGGCGCCTTAGCACTTTTCTAATCGAAACAGGCCCGGTTGCTGTGTACATTAACTCCACATTTCCTGCTTGGTGTGATAATGATGATAGAGGCCTGGGTACTTAATCCTTTCAACTTCCAACTGAGCATTCACGACGCGGTCCAGTAGGTCCCAGTCTTCTCCCCCCCATTCGTACTTGAATTCCTCGGCATTCATTCCTTTCAAAATTAAGCAGTTAAAAGTTACGATTGTACACAATGAAACGACAAACGGCTACAACTCTCTTATCTTGCCACCCCCCTCCCCCCCCCACCCTTCAAATGCAAACCGCTATTAGACTTTCAGGACATGCATCACATAACAGCGCTCTCACGATGCGCCAATGTAAACACATAGAATGTGTGACGCCAATCGTAACAATAAATCACACTGTTCTATTTGATCCAAACTTTTACATGCTTTATTGTATTAAAATTACTCGCATGTTATACCGATAAGTAAATTAGGAAAATTACTGACTTAGTGTACATAAAAAACGTGCGAGACGGATGTACGTATTAAGAGGGTCGTGAAGGGGTAAAATGGGAACTGGGATTAGCCTTATTGTGGACTGGGAAAATGGGATTTACTCACTGGGACTGGGATTTAGCCACTGGGAATGGGATGAACAATTATAAAATGGGAATGGGATTTCTTTTCTTTAGCGGTCTTTGCTCCAATATTTTGAAATAGAAAAATAAAATTTCGTAGCAATAGACCTTGCACTCCTCCCGCGGTCTAGCTACTAGCTAGCAGTGAAAGCGGAGACAGTGAGTCAGATAAGGATTGTGCAGATGATAGAATTGGTTTTCATATGGTTATGTCAACAAGGGCTGGAAGAGAAAGAGTGTTCACCAGCAGAATGAGAGATTTTCTTCAGTCCAGGTGAAGGTACGTATATCCAAATAGCGTCAATCAGTGCTTTTAATTTATTATGCGCATGATTTTGCAAATAATCATTAGTAATGGGATTTTAGATTTGGTAACTGGGATTTTGGCAAAAATTAGCCTGGGAACTGGGATTTGGGCCAAATTTAGGCTGGGAACTGGGATTTGGTACCCCCCTTCACGACCCTCTATTAAACAAATCTAATGTATTGAAAACGAATACAACGTCAAGGGACGGCTTCTATGCGAAAAATTGGAAGGTCACCTGTTAAATCTTTCCGCGCGTTAACCTCTGGAATATGTTTTACGAATAGCCTTTGTCCTTACTGATCATTTCACCTGACTAATTATGGTCGAGCCTTCAAGCAAGTCAGAGCGTCCCGGAGAGCTCGCTAGCAGGCTAACTGTAGTTTAAATAACAACTGATAAGTTTTAACAGGGAAATTCCCTGGATCGTTCTACATATAGCCTGCGTCGTAGACATAATCAATCCACGGTTATTAACGTCTGCGAAACAGCGCCGAAATCCTTGTTCTGGTACCCTACCTGTGTACCAGCATTTGAGTACCCTCCATGATTGGCCTTTTAAAGAAGACACACCGCAAAGTTCCGAAAGTAACCACCCTCGTCACTTTCGGATTTAGCAGCCTTTTCCTATCGCTACTTCCGGGTAGCTTAAACCTGTATCGTTCATGGGCCGTACGAAGTTACGATAATAACATCGCGACAATTGTGAAAACATGCACACTTTTTATTTGGAGAAACTTATTTCTATGTTATTGCTTTTTAAATAAATATTCAAAAGAATTGTTTGATTACGGGGTGGACATTCATGATCACAGACGAAAGGAAGACTTTTTGAACATAAAAAAGATGTACTGCCGAGTGCATTTTGAGTTACATAAGGGAATGTCAAAGATCATTTTGTAAAGCTTGTTGTAACAGCACTATTATTTTCGTTATTTCTAGCAAGAAGGGAAATTAATTTTGAAGTCGCTACTTTCTGAGGGTCGCTACTTTTGGCACCACCTATGAAATTTTATCCATTACTTTTGGGGGTCGTTACTTTGGGAACTTAACGGTAGTCGATTTGCCAGTAAAGTTGAAAGGAAATTAAAAAGGGATTTTCGCTAAGTTGTTGAGTCCGTTGTGGGCCCAGAACAAAGACCTCGGCGAAGAAACGCTACTTACCGAGGTTTGATCTCGTCTGCAACGCAGGGTTTCTGCATAAAGTCATGTAAAAAATACACTTCATCGTCTAGTAGCTCAAATGAAAATTTGACTCTCTGCAGTTCTCTTATTTTTGGATCGGTGTATGTCACGTGGTTCAACAGTGACGGTATTAAAATAACGAATTTCTTTGAACTTACCGCCAAAACGTATCCAGTCCGATTTATATACAGCAAGAAGACCATAACCGTTCGTCTGCCAAAAGCCTTGATGATCAACATATGTACTTTGACAGTCTAGACGTCCCACTGCGGGAAAGAAAGCGATTCTTCCTTCTATGGTGTTCTGTTGAAAATAAGGAAACTAAACTTGATCTTGTTACTTAAACGTAACAAGAATTCTGACAGTGTGGTCGGAAGGAATTTGGTATAACCCATTTTCCAACAGAAATGACCACAACATTTTCAGTACTCTAAAATGCAACACACTCGGCATCTAGATTTTTGGCTACGAGTAGGCAAAAACGCTATATTAGTATTTCGAGACAAAATAACAAGTTATCCGCAAAAGAAGTCAGTGTATCTTGCTATGGAGCGTTCTCACTCACGAGGCAAACATCTTTGGTAATTTATTGGAACATAATAAAAGGCGTTTACATGAGAAAAGAGTTCAACATCCACAGGATTGTCATGGTACACCAACATGCAATGGCCGCGGTTTCATTGTTTTGGAACACCAATATGGTCGCCGTGACTCCAAGTGAAAACGATCTACAACAACACGTGTCAACTCACCTTTCGCACGCTGTCTAGAATGTCAACGGGCACATCGATATGAAGATCAAACAAAAACAACAGATCATGCGCACTTGGTACTTGCTCTACAGCTTTGTTCAGTGCCAGCGTCTTGTAAAATTTACCGGTCAAGTTGATAATAGTGTGCCTGCTCCTCAGAAGGGCAGTGTCGAACGCTTTGGCCAAGTCGATATCTTGACTTTCAAAATCAGCAACAATAACGTGAAAGTTCTTATCACCCGTTAATAAGCTGGCAACCGTGAGACTATTGATGAAATGATAGACCCATCTTCCCTGATCTTTGACAGGGAGTATTATGTAAACCGTGACGTTTCTGTTCCACTCGATTCCCTTGGGAAGACACAAACTTTTCGTTCCCTTTTTTTGATACACGTGCTCCGAGAAGCGATATGATTTTTCAGTGTGAGGAAGGCCAAGTTCCAGATCAACTGAATAACGGTCCCCATAAACCGGATCTGGTTTTTGCAGAACTTTGTGAATTCTCTTCAAAATGTACTTCCTGAAAGAAAAAGAAAAGGTGAAAAAAACACTAGAAGAATTTGTAAACATAGGGATCATCAATCAAGCGTCGATGCTTAGGGGGGGACTCCGCATATGAAAGGGGTGGCGATGCTCGTCGGAAATTTTGAATTAAACCCCTTAAGGAGACCGATCTGGGCGTGGCCAAAGCTTTTTTTGACCCCTAAAAGAGACCATGTTAAAACACAGACAATATGAATTTTTTTATATTTTTTCACGTGCAACCCTAAACGAAATATGATGGCGTTTTGCCCAGAACACTCTAAGTCAGACCAAAATCCGAAATTTACACCCCTAAGCGAGACGAAGAGCATCCCCACCCCTTTCATATGCGGAGTTCCTCCCCCGGGCGTCGATGTAAGAATTATTGTTACTTCAGCGCAGAATACTTGTCAAGGAAAACATGCTATTGCCTTGTGTTGCCACAAGCATTATGATCGCATGCGAAGAAGGCATGCAGCCGTTGCAATGAATGAAGTGTCAGGGGATTGGAAAAATTGGGGCCTGTTTTTTTATGATTTATTTCAAGCATGTGCTCTTTCATCGCCTGTTGCATTTCTGACAGGCGATCACGTACACAAATCGGATTTGACCAGTTCGCACCTTCGGCTTGTCAACAAGAGATCTGGGTTACGAGATTATTGTCGCAGAAAGGAGTCGACGTGACTTCTGGTGCTCAATTTGCCGCTCTACCACTGTTTGATAAGGATTTTGAACTGCACGCGCCATCGTTACCGTCGTCGAGTTAATAGTGAGTTTACGCAACAGGACGACAGGAAGAAGAGGACGGCAAAATGTTTGTGTGACAAACGTGACAGGGTTATTACTTGCATGTTATGTCGTGATCTTCACTTAGCGTTAATAATTTCTTGTTTTTACAAAAAGATCTGTTTAAAGGAAAGTGATGTTTGGCGAAAAGTTATTTCAAACAAAATTGTTGTCACGGTTGTCACACAAGGTTTGCCGTCTTCTTTCCTCTCCCGTCCTGTTGCGTGAGTTCACTAATTTCGTACCCAGATCTCTCGTCAACAAGAGATCTGGGTACGAGATAATCGTAGCGTTGAATTTGCTTCATCTGTCTACTGTCATGCGACAACGTCCAGATATGAAAAGGCCTAGTGCACACATGCAAGGGCAATGAGTAAACATTCTTGTTCACTTTCTTTGTGCCTTTTAGCTTCGCTGTCAGCTTAAAATGTCCAACTGAAAGCTTTTTTCTTATCTCTTTTCGTGCGTCGCGTGGTGGAGTTCCCCCATCAGTGTTGGCAGACTGGTTTTTGTAGCAATACCGGCTAGTACCTTGAAAATGAAGCCTCTCTACCGAAATAAATAAATTTAAGCCGCACCGGTAGGCTTTAATACTTATAGCACTGAAGAACACATATCAACTCCGCGGTCTTATGCGCTGGGCGGTGGGCAGTCTTACACCAAGTAGTACCCGGATTTACTGTGTTTTGGGTACTGGGTGGCCGCTTATTCGGGGGAGAGCGCTTGTTAGAGCATGGGCGCTTATCAGAAAAAATACGGTATATCTTAAAACATTTAATGAAATTTTCATTTAACTTACTCTGAGGAACTGAGACGAAAAGCAGCAACCCGGTTATGCATGACTGACCGAATTACCTCGCTGTCGGCGGCTCGATTTGGACTGCCCCACCCCGGGCCGTTTGACATCTGCGTATCGTCTGGTGGGAAAACACTGGATTCAAACACCATTTTCATGCCTTCATAGCGATGAACTTTAGTTCTTGGTACAAAACTACTATTGTAATCGCAGGAAGTTAGAAAATTAGCTTTCGAAATGAAAGGCAGAGAATAAAACTTGACAAATTTACTGCTGATTCGGTCGGATTGTTTTTGAAACTCTTGCTGATATCGCTGCGAAAGCACATTGTGGAGTGCTACTTTTTTCTCAGTTATATGCGTTGTATTCTGCAAAAATGGCGAGAGGTATTCTGAAGTGATGAGTCTAAAATCTTCATCTTTGTCAGATATAGTCCAAAATACACGCACGAACCCTTTGCCTTTGCCTTGTTGGTGTAAAACCTCGACGTAGTATTTCTTTTTAGCTTGAAGATTGAGTGGCTTTTTGGTTTTCTGTTCAGGATATTTACCTAACTCGTCCTTACCCGTCCAAGCTATTTCTTTTTCACTAAACACACGGACAATTAGTCGTTTATTTTTGGGATATTCGTCTGTACTTATCCATAACTCCGAAGTGTCGTCAGAGGCGATCGCAAAACGATACAAACCATTACTTTGAGGATGTAAATATCCAAAGATTTTCTGACCGTAGTCCACGCTGTCGTCTTCAATGTGAAACTCGTTGACGAACTTCTGCTGATCAGGATATTTTGGAAAGAACAGTGATTTTTTTAAATATGTTACGTTTGAACCGCATTGCATTCGCCAAACGTGAACATTAAGAACTGCCTTTGACACACGTACTGCAACAGTATTCTCGTCGCAAGAAAAGCGATCCTGTTGGCCAGCGCCACTGATGATCATCCCTGGAAACGCGGAGAATTCCTTAACAGTATTGTCGCTATGTCTTCGCCAAAATTTACTGGAGAGTAGAATAAACGAGATCGAGCACACACTTAGTGCGAAAATCAAACGCTTTAAAGCTTTTTGGATTCTTCGAAGTGTAAGAAGGCCTCGGAGATACATAACTCAGAGTAATAATGTTAGAGATGTTACAACTTGGATCGAGTGTTGCGCAGGACCCCGCTTGTGATACTTTCCACAGTCAAGTCAGTCAACTGAACCACCCAGCTCTCATGGCATGGAATGACACTATAAAAAGACAGTTGATATAAATCAACTTTAAAACGTAAAAAAATATATTTACTTTTATGTTTTAGATCTTCGGATATCTACAGTGTATATAAACATGATATACACCTAATTACAATAACGGTTGTGATAGAAAAATGGAAAAGGGAAAAAAGGAAACGTGACTAATAAACCACTTATGGGTTAATAAATTTGCAACATACCGGTCCAATGAAGCAGGGCGCATAGGACTTATTCGTGAACTGACCTTGATTGCATTGAAATCTTACAGGTGATAGATATTACTGTAGAATTAGAATCGAATATAGTCGAACCTCTCTAATACGGACACCGAAGGGACAGAGCGAAGTGTCCGTGTAAGAGAGGTGTCCGTATAAAAGAGGTCACTATGATAACGTCGCTTTTATGACTCCACTTACAGTTTTAAGAGTTCAGTAGCTAAAGCCAGGATCACCCGCTTCTATAAACTGCATTTAAAGTTATCAAGACAGAATCCACCAGGAATTGAGTAATTTTAATTTTCAGTGGACAAAAACCTTGTACCAGAATCAGTTAAAGAATATTGCATTCTAGACTTTTTTGCATTTTTCAAGGGCTAAAGATGTAATTAGTCATTTGTAATAACACCAAAGAAAATTTCTCATGGGAGTCCGAGCAAATGAATGTCAAATTTCACAAGAATTGTGAAAACACAAGTAAAATTCTGAAAATTTCATGTGTAAGATGTGATTTTGTGAAATTTGACATTCATTTTCTGATGACCAGCAGCAACGAGGGTTCTTTCTTTCTCGTAGCAAGAGACTTTCTGGGAACAAGGTTGGTCTTTGCCGAGGCTACCACCGTGGTTTCACGCACTGAGAAAATTCGGACATTCAAAATGCTTTATTTTCAAAATGAAAGACGCTACGGGGCTGGAACTTCTACAAAGATTTACTTCTCGGGCACATTCAACCTCATGCAGATTAAAGAAACGTAAGGTCTCGCTATTATGATTTTAGAGTTTAATGACGTCATGGTGATAATACATATTTGCTTGGAAACGAGGTTAATCGATGGGAAAGAAACTGCTTGGAGAAAAGTGAACTAAAATTGTGGCGTTCACGGCTATCCGAAGGAGAGACATCTGAATTTCCGACTAAAACTGAACGGAAGAAATTAACTATTGCTCGATTGATGTTATCTACTTTTTGAGGAGTATTTGCGACAACAAAATATCTCATCCTTAAACAAACAGTCCAGAGAAATAGGACAAAGTTTTGATGAAAGTCTACGAGAGGATAAGCGCGTTAAGAACTTGCAAATATTTTGGATAAATAATAAAACAATTACTAGTGAAAAGGGAAATACTTTCCAAGCAACGTTAAAAATTCGGTGGTCGCAAGAGAGGATAAAGCTTTATCCTCTCTTGGTGGCCGATATGTTCGAGATTTGCTAACCTCTCTGAAATTTTGTTACATTTTGTCAGGAACTTTACGGTAATGAATAAGAAACGCCATGATCTCGACACCGTATCCGTGAACACAATCCGTGATGCCGTCAGTAAGCGTTAAACTTATTCTCAATCACTGCGTATGGTTACGAAGGAGAAGAGCTCTGGGGTGGGGAGGGGCGGGGGGCAACTGGGGACTCCTGGGGCGAGGCTGAGGTTATCATAGGTCAATTCAAATGACTGGTTGTGAAGGTCCCGTCATTTCTATGTGATTAGTTCACTAAACCGGGGAGTGCATTGGTGCTTCTAACGGCACTAAACTGTGCCT